GCGCCCTCTTTGCTTACCGGCAGCAGCTCGGGCTCGTCGAAACTCACTTCTTGGACGGCCTCTTGCTTCTTGAAGGAGTCGCGGCGCTCGGAGAGGTTCAGCCTCCTCATGACAACCACCTCTTGGTCATGCCTGTCCCCCGGCCACTCCCGCATGCGGCACGTCCCGGCGTAGCCGTGTTCCGCGGGCCCCTCGCCCTCTCCCAAGGCCTCTCCTGTCCTGTCAGCCGGAGGCGGCTCCAGCCCCAGCTTGCGGCTGCCGACGGTTCTCTTCTCCGCCAGGTACGTTGCCATCTTCTCCGCGGACTGGACGCGCTTGAGCAGGGGGGACCTGGGGCACTCGGCGCTGCGCGGCCGAGAGCCGTGTCTGACCATGGTGGGGGGGGACAGAGTCTTGCCCTGGAAGGAATGGACGTTTTTGGGGTACCCGGGCAGCGGCGACGGCGAGCGCTGGGGGGAAGGCGGCCGCTGGGCGGAGCAGGGGGTGCAGGCGAGGGGCGAGGGGGGGATGCTGCTCGTGGACTTGCGGCGTCCCACCTTGTAGCGCTGCCCGCCGAGCTTGGGCGCCAGCCCGTGCAGGGAGCTGGGGCGGACGTGGCCGGCCGGAGAGCCGGGGGTGCTGGAGGAGGGAGAGGTGCTCTGCGGGGACGCAGCATCTACCACACAAAGAGAGAAGGGACACGGTGAGGGAGGCGGGGACGCGTCCCCCCGCGATGCCCATGGTGCCCCCAACTCCCAACTCCTGCGATAGGAGCAAAGCTGCACCCGGGAGCTCGCAGGCAAGGGGACGGGGACACAGGGGACACACCTGGGGGCAGGTCTGGTGCGGGGCTGCGACACGGCGTCGGGGGGCCGGGGGACAGGCTGTGCGTGGGCGACTCCGGGAGGCTCTCGCTCGAGGACAGCGAGTGGTGGAGGCCGGAGGAGAAGCTGCGGCTGGTGTGCAGGACCGTTGACTGCTTGGAGATCTTCTTGAAAAGGGATTTCCTCCTTGGAAGGAAGCAAAGGCCATGGGAAGGGTGTCCACGGGCAGGTTGGTCAGAAACAGCAGGAGCTGCTCTAAAGCCACAAACACCCTCAGCTTCTTTAAAGCCAGCAAACCTGCAGGTCTGCCAGTGCTGTTGGGACTAGCCCTGAGCAGGCTACAACCTCCCACCTCCGGGCTCCAAGGTGTCCGAGAGCACAGCCCGGCGCACCAGGGGAACGTCACCCGAGGAGGCGGTTCCAGGACGCATTTCAGCTCCAAGACACCCAGGAAAAGTGCCAGTTTGTCTCCGTTTGGTTCCACTCACCTGTCCTGGTTGTCCCTTTTCCTGCTCTTCTTACTCCTTCGGGCCATCCTAGTCTTGGAGCTGTTTTTCCGCGCAGGGCCAATTTTTATGGATGTATTCTCCAGGGCAGTGGTCCGCAGCGCTACTTTATTGCCGCTCTGAGAGGAAGAACGCGGGGCATTGCAACACGCTGCACACAAACGGCACATTTTAACCAGAAACGCGGGCCTGCATCTCCCACCCCGCTGCCCGCAGAGGGGACGACGCGGCGAGCGCGGCTGCAGGGCAGCTCCGAGGGCATCCGCAGGAAGCCAAGAGCCGCAGCCTGCCCGGGCG